TATTTGAAGGGCTTGACTAAGCCAAGTTATGCATCACTCAGTGCTGTTCAGTTCTCTCTCTCTCATTCTCTCTCTCTCTCTCTCTCTCTCTCTCTCTCTCTCTCTCTCTGCTTTTTCCTTCTATCTAATCCCTGGTCATAGCTGCTGGGAAATTCAACACTATGCAGAAGGCGCCTTTTGCTTTATGGTCTTATATAAAAGAACCTATCACCCAGAAGACATGGGATATGTTGCTGACTCAATCTAAAGAAGGATTTCAGGTTGGGTCAGCAACATCCTGGGAGTAGAGGCCGCCAAGCTTCCTCTTAAGGCCAGGTCACAACGAGTTTACTGAGAAGACTGGATAGATACTGTAATGACTGCTGGAACTCAGTCCAAAACCAGCATCTATAAAAAGAAACTTCTCTTCCACCTCTCTTCCCCATTTGCAAATGTGTGTGTTTTCCTTGCAGGAAATAGAAAAGAAGCCATTTTCCTTCTTCCCGTTGGCCTTTCTTGAGAGAGAATTCAACTTTTGTTTATTTGTTTTTATGGTGCTGGGGATGAAATTTAGGGCCTTGTGCATGTAACGCAAGAGCTCTACCCCTGAGACACAACCTCGGCCCTTAACTTCTGAAAACTTGATAAGATGTGGTGCCCTTTTGTTTTCTCCATTAAAAGTCAGGTATCTTCATTTGTCACAAAAAACCAAATGTAAATTCTTTCCATGTTTCAAGAGGTAGAAAACAGAGAAGGATGGATGCCCTGTGTGTGACACACCCCTCTTTAGGGGTCCTGTTTGTTATGAAGAGGCACCAGCAGAAAGTCCATTCTTACCTGTGCACCAGGCTGGAACCTAAGATAATTCAGTTAACACTCAGACTGAGCTGTTTCTCATCTGTCTACATCCCAGTTCTCTAACATCAGCTTGGGAGATAAAATACTATCACAAACAGCAGTGAACCTATTTTCTTGATTGTTATCGTCCCATCGCCAGCCTCCTCAAAGTCTTGTCTGCTTTTTAACAGGAGTTTCCCCAATGGTGACCCCAGATGCACCAGGGAAGAGCTTCTCTGCCCCTTTCTTCTGCCATCTCTTTGTCCTTAAAGCCCTGTCGTGATGAGCCCTGCTCCAGCCCCCAGGGCAAGAAAATTGCCCTCCTTGTCAAAACATGCATCCTCTACAGTATTACCAGAGCTCTATGGTGGCTCTCACCATGCTTCATTATCGCCCCAGCATCAAGCCCACCACCCAGGCAGGTCATAGAAGAGTCTCTTAGTTTGGAATAAAAGTGAGGAGAATGAGAACAAATGCCTGTGGTAGCCAAGAATCTTCACAGAAACAGAATCAATACAGAAAGAAAATGGGAGAAGAGAGAGGAATTCAGAGACACAGAACCAATGAGACAAACTGATTTAAATGCCAGCCATATCTTTAAAATACCTTCATGAAAACATTCAGAAAAATAATTGGGCTTTTATGTGTCAACATGGTCCAGCCAAGCAGTGACTCTCAACCCCCAAGATCATGTTCAGCTGTCACAACTGGGGGGTTAACTATTGGCATCTAGTGGATAGAGACTAGGGACACTAAGAAACATTCTCCAGTACCCAGGACAACCAACAACAACAGAGCACTTTCTGACCCCACATGGCAATAGCAGCACTGCGGTTCAGAAATCCTGCTCCAAATGACCAGATCGCTTCCTGTCTCTCTAGCCCTGTTCACTATTGCTTCATCCTTTCTGGCTTCCATTCAGGTCACAGAGCATGCCAATTCCTTCCTCCCCTAGGGCCTTTGTAATTGGCATTCCCACTTCCTGAAATGCTCAGTTCTGGCTCCTTGTCATCCTTCAAATTTCACTCAGGTCCCCGCCCCCACCTGCCCCTCATCCCATGCAATTTCATTAACCTGATTATGTCTTCATCCCCAGTTGACATTTGCTATTTTGTCCATTATATCAGCATTCCTACCTTCACTGAAAGTACAGATGGATGGGTACCAAAGCAAGCACTTTGCCTGGCACATAGCAAGTACTCAACAAATACTTGGTGAATGAAGGAAGGGAGAAATGACTTGGACATTTCAGTGAACACAACTCTGCTTGTGTATTTGCTTTCTCACTACCATCTCTCTGACCAACTCAGATATGCCTTTATGGGTTCTGTACTGTGACAGAATGTTGACTTTGCCCTCAAGAATACTGGTTCATTTTTATTACTGGATTTAGAGCACGATCTATTTCATTTCTCAAGGTTATTTTTCTCCTAAGACGCAACTCAGTCTCCTTGATCTGTCTGAACTCTACCCTGGAAATCTTCCTACTCCACAGATTCTCCTCAGTTTCGAAGGAATCCCCAGGTGTACAGCTAGTAACTGATTGGGATCTTTAAGAAGGGCTGCCTCAAAAAGGAATTAGCAGGAGAAAACTAAATAGATCTCAGCTATACTATGACTACAAATGTAGCTTCACAGAAATTTGACTAAGGCCATCTAGCTGGTGCCCCCTGGTAAGTCACCTACATCTCAATCTGTACATCCTGTTTCTTTTCACCCATTTCCTTTTTTGCTATATCCTGGTACAGTCTCAGAGTGGCTTCTAATAACTTTCATATGCTTCTAAAATAACTCAGTATGAGGTCATTACTGATAACTTATAGTGCTTTGCTATATATCTAGATAAATGCCATTTCTTACTTCTGTCCCCTGCAGGTTATATGCCATTGCCTTAGTTGCTTTTCTCCAATTGCTGAGACAAAATACCCAATACCCAAAGATAGTAGGGGAAAGGTTTGTTTAGCTCACAGTTTTTAGAGGTTTCAGTCCATAATTGGCTGGCTTCAAGGCAAGGTGCACATGGCAGAGAGGTAACTGTTCATGGTGATGGAACATAGCAAAAGCAACAAGAGAGGAAGAGGGAAACAAGCCTCTTTCTATCCCTTTTATTTTATTCAGACTGCTGGAATTAGGGTGGTGCCAATCCAATCAGTGGACTGATCCAGCAATCACCCAGCCTTAATCCCAGCACCCTTAATCCCACCATTGAATCATGAATCAACCACAAACTCTAGATTCAGCTACTTCTAAAAAAGTCCTATATAAAAGTGCACAAAGCTTGGGGTGTGGGGGGTGCATCTAGACCCAAACCATAACCACCGTGCTTCTCAAAACAGCCTTCTTGTTATTATCCCCTCACCAGGACCCTTTGTCTTAGTTCTGCCTGGACAGCCATGTACATGACAGCCACTACTGAATTGACCACCTCTGCCATCCCTGTATGTCCTCAGTTCCCTTCCTGTCTAAATATCCATCAAGAGAGCAGGGTAATCATTTATTTCTCTTCTACACTAGTTAGGGGAAAAGTTAAGGATCTTTGAGACAGGGCCACTAGGGAAACCATTCACAGGCAATCAGCCCTGCTGTGAGTACTGTCTTCTCTGCTCAGAACACCCCTGCCATAGGGCAGGCTGATGGGTTACCTGACCTCTGCCAATGCCAAACCTTCCAAAGGTCCACCTAGGCTCTGCCTCTTTGCTGCATGTGGTAACCCAGCACCAGGGCTCTCATTTCCATCCCTGTTGGCTTCACCAACATGGCAGTGCCAAGACGGGTGGCAGCAGCCCTTGTTCCCATGACACTTGTACAAATGAAGGAGCAGAAGGACCCTCAAAGTGCTCCTCAGTCTATATAAGAAAGAGTAGAATTCCTCCAATTTAATTTTTATCATTCTATTACTAAATAACCTCAGTGTTGAAAAAGTTATTAGAAACTATTTAAACAGTTCTCTGATTGTGACTTCTTTAATAGGAAGAGGTTCGCAGATGGAGTAAACACTCACATTTGAACTATTTTCAATGATGCCCTAAAAAAACAAAATATTTTCAACTTTTATTTGATAAGAACAAAGTGAAATATTTTAATTCTAAGCCTCTAATAACAGCACACTGAATTTTCTCTCCTTTTTTCTTTCCACTTATTCTTGTTTCCTTTCTTATTTTTCCCTCATGTCTCTCTCTCCTCCCTCTCTTACTCTTTCTCTCTCTCTTACTCTCTCTCTCTTTTCCTTTTTCTTTCCCTTCCCACTCCATTATCCCAATTTAAAATTCAAAAGAAAACTCTCCAGAGACAGCAGGTCAATAAATCAAGCAAAACTGTGTTGACTCCCATAGTAGAGAATTCCAAAATAGATATACATGGTAGTCTTGTGGGAAAATCACCACCGTTCCTTCCGCTCCCATAGATTATGATGCTAATTTGCCTGTATTATCCTCCAGTGTTTACCATTTTCTGGGCCAAACATTTTTTTAAGGGTGTGTTTCCTATCTTCCAACAACCTCTCCTGAACTCTTCCTTTCATTAATGGTGCTTACACAGCTCAGAAACTGAAGAAGTATTTGAAGGCAGCAACTTGTGGTCAGACAGTCTTATATTTGGGGATGGAGTTAAGGACAGCATCTATGTATGTTCCCCTGTCTTCCCATTAGTTCATGATTATGAATCAAACTCAAAAAGTATGCACTGTCTCCTTGAGCCTTGAGTAGATTTCCCTCTTTGTCCCAATACTATTTGTTTATTCATACAGATAAGGAGCTTTAATAAGCATAGCTTGTGATAAATTTATTGCCCTTATCAGAACCACTGCCTACGAAGAGACTATTTGACTCTATACCTAGTATTTTACATATACCACTGTATTTTATTTTAGTTTTACGTAGATCCTGTAAGACAAGCATTGCTAGCCACACTTCCTGAGGGGGTTTAAGTAACTGACTCACTGTCTCACAGTTAGGTGGCACAAATGGGATTCACACCCACAGTCCTCTGATTTCAAAACCAGCACTCCTTAAATGAACCTCCATTTGGCTAATAGGAGAAACAGAGATTTTGAAATGTTAAATGATATAATCTATGTACCTAGCACTCTATAGAATGCAATAAATTATCCAAAAGTTACTGCTAGTATTATTGTAATTATCATTGTTACTGCTATTATTCTTATTATTGTTATTATCATTATTCAGAGACCAACTCGTCAAACCTACTTTGCAGGATTTAGAAATAGCTGCGGTGATCCTCCACCCAGAGGACCCTGGAAGGACAGCAAGAGTGTGAGTGAGCCCTCCCCCAACCCAGAGGACCTTCACAGTCCTGAAAGAGCACTGGTGAGGCCTCCCTCCACCTGGAGGACCCCGGGCAGGCCTGCGAGGGCACCAGTTACCCCTCTTTCCATTTGGAAGAGTCCAGGTGGGCCTCCAAGAACCACAGTGACACAGTAGGGCCCTGGCTGAGGCACACACCATGGACAGGTGGGTATGGCAGCCTAGAAAAGCCAGAAGCAGCAATGAAACCATGAGCCACAGGTTGGTTCACGTCAATACTCCTATTAGTCAGCTCGGGAAGAGTCCAGGACTCATCCAATTGGCCCCACAGGAGAACTTCAGATGACTGTCTCCCTCCCCTGCACTATGGGACCTGGCAACTAGGTGAACGCCAGCCACACAATAGGACTCTGACTAAGATTTACCCAACAGACAGGCAAAATACGCAAGAATTAAAAAAAACTGAAATTTGACCAAGAGGTGAAAATGACAAAAAGAAAAAGTAAAATGCAATCCCAGACCTCCAGCTCATCCAGAACAAATACAAGAGACATCAACATAGAAGAAACTGGAAACTTGAAATTTCTGAAAAGACAGCAAGTGAAGAAACAAATCCATCCAGATATACAGGAAATTGAATCAAAAATCATATCTCAGGTAAAGAAAGAAACGGCAGCCTTAATGAAGGAGTTGCTCTCTAGCCAAGAAATGGATCTTTTGCCATTGAACAGGAAATGTTGAAGATGGGTAGCTGAGTCACAGCTACAGTGAAGGCAAGCTGGTAATAAGTTTCTAGGACATAATGGACAAGTGTCTCTTACTATGTGAAGGTTTATGATGGACATAACCCAAGTGGGTGTTTACCCCACAGCAGCAGAGGTATTAGCTCTGCAAACTATTGAGTCACTTTATCTAGAAAGACTGACATTTCCTTTTTAAGAAGTGTAATTACCAGCTTACAATTCATTCCAAACACAAGGCAGCTACTTGATTTTTGTTGCTCCAAATGCTCCTTGACACTTTCACATGAGATGATGAAGCCAGGGGACTGAACATAAAAGTCTGTGAGACACATGATACAGCTGAAGTTCACAGTAACTACAGTGAACTGAACACCATGGATAGCAATAAGAATGAGCTTCTGGGAGATCTTGATCCCCGAAGGCAGGAATATGTCACCCATGTGCAGCCCTAGAAGCAGAAAGAAGTTCCCCAATACATTTGGCCTCCTCACTGGGAAGCAGAGGCAGGACCCTCAGTGGGTCTATGAGGTCTAGGACAACAATTCTGGTGGGGAAAAGGCCAGAGGGATGGTGAAGGGTTCAGTCCCAGGTACCAGATGACAGCAGCTTAGGAAGGCTGGAAATTCTTCTTCCATGAATTTCTCACCCTAACTCCCCAGGGCTTTGTTATTCTGAGTGTTTCGTATGGTGTCTTTTTTTCCTCTTGTATAATAAGAAAGTATCGTTTCCTAGACCATCCTTGAGATTCTCAAAGGAGTTGATTAATGGTATTTTCCTTCACTGAGTTTTTCTCAAAATGGGAATTGCAAATACACCAAAGTAGAATCCATTCTAGAACATGGTACAAAGGTGGGGCCAGTTCATGCCCTGCTTCCTCTTCCTCAGCTCTCTGTCAGTCATCTCCCTTTGTTAGATCAGAACATACCCAACTGATCTGCAGAAATTCCCTCTTCCCTTTGAAGGGCTGTGAAGGGAGGGGTCTTGGTCTGACATGGCCAAGGGATGGAGCTGTTTCCAAGCCAGGCCTCATCTTCCTGGGATATTGATTGATCCTTGGGTAGAATGTTATCAAGTGAAAGATAAAATTTAAAAAGTGGCACTTTGGAAAAAGCTATCAGAAATTCATTCACTGATGCCTAGGTTTATTTGATAAATACTATTGAATACTATCACAGGAACTTGGGATTCTGGAGTAAACCAATCAGACAAAAATCTCTAGAGAATGAACCTAACACTGTGAGCAGGGAGAAGACAAACAATAAAAAGGGAAATAAATGAACTATGCAGTTCAGTCATAAGAACAGTAAAGAAAAACAGAGCAAATAAAAGGGAACACAGTAAAGTCAGGTTGTAACTGCCAACAGTCCTTACCATTCCCACCAGACATTGAATGAAAACCTGAAAATGGTGGAGGAAGCCAAGAGGTTGTGAAGAGAGACAGATTCTATCAGAGGGAACAAATGCTAACGCCTGAGTGGGAGCAAGCCCACCAAAGTTAAGGAAATGTAATGGGGATGTTAAAGCACAGGAAATGACAGGCTCAACGAGCTGCTGCCTTAAAGCAAACAAGCTTTCTGGGGCATACAACTATAAGCATTTTCTTTTATCTACTTCTGGTCACTTGAGCAAAAAAAGTCCATAGGAATGCCAAGGTCAAAGAATGGGGTAGCATGGCTGGCCTCCTGAGAGAAACTGAGACTCAAGACTAGTAACCCAGTCTAATAGATAGCCATTGAAAGTGCTAACCAGATTAGAGACCTGAATTATCTTTTGTTTAACAGCACCAGTTTGATGGGGATGTCAAAAACAGACTATGAGGCAGCAATGATGGAATCTGGGCCATCAGAAGTTATTAAATTATTCTATGTGAAACACCATGATGTCAGAGATCAGTGAAGTAAGTAGCAGAGAATTTAGTAAAGCTGGTAAATTCTGGGAATATTTTGAAATTACTGTTAAGGACTTGAGCCCACTTACTAATGGGTTGAGCATGAAACATGACTTAAATTTTTGAGTTTTAGGCAACCATGAGGGTATATCTATTATTTTTCACATAAAAGAGCTGGACAAAAAGTTGGAAGAGAGGAAAGGTGGGGAGCCTGCTTCAGACATGTGTTAAGTTTCTGATGTCTATTTGACCTCCAGATAGATATCAAATAGACACATAGCAGGCTGAAGTTTAGATCTAGAGTAGAAATCTGGTATGGTAGCACACATCTGTAATCCCAGCATTCAGGATGCTGAGGTAGGAGGACTGCCATGAGTTTTAGGCCAGCCTGGGATATATATCATGATCCTGTATCAAAAGGAAAAAAGAGAGAGAAAGAAATCTAAATTTTGGAGTCATCGGTATATAGACAATACATTACTTTTTCACTGTACATAACAAATCACCACAAACTGAGCATTGTAGCATAGTATGTCAGAAGCCCAATACAGCATGGCTGGTTTCTGTGCTTGTATTTTCACAGGCCAAAATCAGTGTCAGCCAGGGATGCTGCAAGATTTTGGTCTTCACCACAGCTAATGGTTGACAGCCCAGTGCAGTTTCTTATAGCTATATGACCAACATCTCCATTTTCTCGGTGGGCATTGGTTATCACAGTTCCATACCTCCTCTAAAATATGGCCCTTTTCTTCTTCAAGGCCAGCAAAAGCAAAAAAAAAAAAAAAAAAAAAAAAAAAAAAAAAAAAAAAAACCTCTTTGTCCTAAAATCTTTCGAATTTATAAAGAACAAAGTCCTTCTTTGAAGAGCTAAACAAATTAGATCAGGCAAATCCAGACATATCATACACTGATTAACTCAAAGTCAACTGATTAGTGACCCAACTGATTAGTGACCCAACTGATTAGTGACCCACAGAAGTGATGTCCCATCACATTCATAGTTCCACCACAGTCAAGAGGGAGTTGTGTGGAGGGACAGGAAACCTGAATCTATCTTAAAAGTTTGAATATTATAAACAGTTGCTTAAAGCTGTGGAATTCAAAGAGCTCATGAATTTGAGTATAGATAGACAAGAAAATTAGATTTTTCTGTAGGGACATCTGGAGCTGCCTTATTGCTACAATTTTTCTGGCCAGGACATTCTGATTGTTGCCTAAATCCTTGCCAGTTAGGCTTAATTGTCTACCTGATTGACTTGGAAGCCACCAGAGGGATTAGTAAAGCACACTTATGAGTATATCTGGGTGAGTCATGGAAGTATAACTTTGGGTACTATATCTGGTCATTGACCCCCTTTTTCTCTGTTGCTTTGCTCCTGCTCTGATTCTGTTACCATGAACTAAGCAACTTTGCTCTCAGGTGATGTTCTGCCTTCAAGCCAGATGACCATGGACTGAACCCTCTGAAACCATAAGCCACATTAAACCTGTCTTTCTTTCAGCTCTCAGTGTCAAATATTGTGTCCCAGCTATGAGAAAGTTGTATGATACACAATCAATAAGCCCTAACAGAGTCAGTTTCTGGATGGGTCTTTTTTCATACCAAGATTAAAGAACCACTTGCTCACACCATAAAAGACTAAAATGCAAGGAAATGAAAGTGTTGCATACCTCTAATGCCAAAATGAGATTTAAATACATTGCAGTGGAAATCCTGTATGAATCCTTCTCTTGACATTTGTTTCATTGCAAGAGTGAATCCTCTGAGTTTAGAATGTGACAATATGGCAGAATAGTATTCTAAACTCTACTTTAGGAGACTAATTTCTTTTATTTCTGAATTGATGGTAGTGTCTCTTCTTTGGTTCCTCCATTGTTTTCTGCTTATAGTCTGAATAGCATGCAGTGGAGTGAGAATGTGACAAATGTAGAGAAATTCTGAAACCAGGGGCCCCTATCTTATTCCTGCCTCTCCTCAAGACTTTGCTTTTAAAAGACAATAAGTGTACTAACAAAAGCACAGTCTTTCCAAAGAGATAAATCTGGGCTTAAGAACTGACACTTCTATTCATAAGCTATGCAACTTTGAGCTCATTACCTAACTTTTTATGTATCTCCTTTTTCTCACCTGTCAAATGCAATAATATTACCTTCCTTCTTAGGTTATTGAAAGGCTTAAGCAAGATAATGGATATAAATGCATTTATATCATGAGCTAAGTGGCAGTGGCTATTGCAATAGTTACTATGTCTGTAATTCTTTCTGAAATAGGACCTCAAAAAATGACCTCCCTTTGTCTGTAGCATTATCAAATATTCATAGCTTTGAAGACTAAAAAAAAGAGAAAAAACCTGGCAATAGTAAGAGGCAGCATCTCAGTTCGCTCCCCTCCTTTTGCCTAAACATGATTTGCTAATATTATCTGGCCCTTCCCTGAGCCTGACTTTGGATTAGCAGTGGAAAAAGAAAACTTTAAGAGTCCACACCATTGAACTATCCTCCATAACTGTACATGAAGGTCATGAGGTAGGAATCATGAAGTCCAGAAAAGGAAAATACAAACTAAGACATTAAAAACATTCCAATGATTGAATGCAAATTTGGAATGATTGTACGATTTATGGCTTTGTTTCAGCTATCAGTTTTCCCTGGACCAATATGAAGAAACAGCTCTTAAAATGTGTACACCATGGAATCTGTGCTTGTGAACATGTTTTACTATACAGAATTATAACATGATAATTGCTTATTATATGCTTGATCTTTGTAGATGTCTTTACATGCTTATTTACACTCTTTCAATTAAAATCTTTCCTTATATGATATTTTATATTTAATAATTATGATTTGTGCAAATCTATCAAGTTTTCTCTATCATTTTCACAGTTCTAATGAAACTAATTAGATGCACTGCTATCACATTGTTTATTTTCATACATTCCTAGATTCAAAAAGTTATTTTCACCCTAAAAGTAAAAATAAAGTCAGATGCTCCCTTTTGCAGTTCCTCTTGTTTAGCATGCTTTAAACAAATAACCTGCCACCTGACTGTAAAAGTTGAAGTATATAAGGAGGTTACCCTGTCATTATCCACAGATACAGATACCCCAGTTTCTACACCTACTATGCCAGAGGATTCAAAGACATCACACAAGCAACTGAGAAGGGTCTCTCTGGGTCATACATAGCTGAAAATTCTCTTGATCTAAGGATCCCTCATTGACACATTCTGACCTTCATCCAAATTTCACTTTGGCTAAATAATAATACATACAAGGTAGGGGAAAAAAAAACCCTAGCATGAAATAGTAGGAAAAAATGGCATGCTTCACTAAATCAGGAAGAAAAAGTTTTCTGAAGTTCAAAAATAGAAATATACACAGGGACAAGTGATTAAAACAATACTTGACCTATGCCTTCTTAACCTCTGCTTCCCACAGGAATTTGTGATGTTTATAGAAAGCAAGAAAAGGATGTAACATTAGCAAATGATTGGTAGGGTTTTGTAATTTGCCCATATTCTATGGGTGATATTCAACACATAAAAATGATAGGTATTAGTAGGGCTAAATCAGCCGGGCTTGTGCATCAGTTGGTTCTTACTTGTATCTACCCTTTTGTCTGAGGCTGAGTCAGTGTGACCCCATCACAGAAGGAACTGATTTTATGTCCTCAGTGTTTCTCAAGGACCTCAGCCGAACAGCTGGCTGTATTTACTAAGCAGTATCTGAATCAACTCAAAAGTGAGTGAAAAAATTTTGATCAGAAAATTGTTCCCTATATGAAATGGAAGGGGATTTGAAGATGGGGGAGGTGAGAATGGGGAAAGGGAGGGGAAGTCAAAAGGATCAAGATGTTATAGGCATATGAACCAGTTCCCCACTATGAATACATTTTTTATGTACCACAAGCATATCCTAATAAGAAAAGGGGAAAAGAAAATTGTCTCATATATATTCAGACTTTGACTCCTAATATTCGCACATCTATTTTATTTCTCTCCTTTGATGTATCTTCTCTTACTGTTTTGGCTCCTTTTCCTTTAATCTCGCTTTTTTTTGTTTTCTCCATATTTGTGGTGAAATTCCCGTAGTCTCACGGGCATTATTAAGAACTAAAGAGCTTATCTGCTCTCAGCTTGTATTATTCAGGATTAAGGATACCTGTTCTACAGTTTCATCACATTTCCTGGGAAATGCTTAAGCTGTAATGACCCACTAAGTTCACCATTGTGTAGAATCCCTTCAGTTGAGTTTCCTTTGAATCAAATGCAGAAATTGACTCCAGTTGTTGACCCAAGGTGTTCATAACTCAAACCAACAGGAAGCCTACTGCAGTAAAGAAGCCGAGGGAGTGGGCAAGGAAGGGATTAGATGCCAAGAAGAAAAGCCCACTTCATGGTAAGAGAAATCCAAAAACTGCAACCGATACGGCAGGCCCTGGGGCTGCCTTTCCAGACATGCCAATAAGGAAAGCTGGTTTTGACTTTGAGGAAGACACCACCAGCCAGGCAAGGGTGGAGACGACATGCCTGGTAGAGGCAGCATGAACCTCCAAGTTCAAGCTCTGAAGTCGTCTTGGGTCAGCTGCAGGGCTCTGTGCCTTGATTCCACCTTCTTGAGTGTTCTTTGCCTCTTCCATACAATGTAGATGGTAAAAATAAAAAAAAAGCTAATCCAGAGAGTTCTAAGGTGCAAATGAAATCAGGTAGTGGCATCCCCTCCTAATGTGGAAAGTGATTCACAGATATTAATGCTGGGTCTTGTTATTATTTACTGTACTTGAGGCCCATCTTGTAATCTTTGCCTGGAAACATAGGAGTCTCTGTATCACTCTAATGCAATTTGGAGGATTTCAAGGGAATTTTCAGAAAGGAACCTTTATCCATAATGGAAAGAATAACCCTAGTCCCAGCATAATGGGTAGAGAGCTGACTCTCAGGCATGTTTTAAAATATAAAAGGTGCATTTTCTGATATACCTAATTCTCCTTCTCTGTACCTATCCCATACAATCCTTCTCTGGGAAATGTTTCTCATTTCCCTTTCTCCCCCTCTGTTTATTGTCCTCTACTCAAAACCTGATCCCAGAAAAGAATGCTAATAAACCCACTGTGTTGGTTACATTCACTTTTATAATCCAAGGGTTTTAAACAACGTGGAATATATGACTCGCTTATCTGAAAGTCTTGATAACCCTTGAATGGACAATGTCATGAAACACTCAGGCTCAAACTATCTCTCTTCTCTGTTAATCACAACTTTAGCTTCACCCTAAGCTGATTTTATGTGTGATTATACAATGGTTATGTATTACAGTTAGTGCCCTAGACTTCCTTGTTCTTTCCCAAGGAGCAGCAAGGAAAGGGATGGAAACAGAGGAAGAGAAAGAAAAGCTTTCCCCACCCTGTATGGAATCAAAGCCTTCTCTATGCTCTTTGGGACCAACATATGTCATTTATCCCTGTGCTGTCACACATGCAATGTCAGGCTCTTAAAACAATTGCTGATAAAGGGAAGGAGATTATCAGGATTCACTGAGACTAATCAAGGTCCCACCCTCCCTGGAGAGCAGTCAGTTTCCCAAACATCACTGCTACCACCCACAGTGGGACAGCTAGTGGGTCAACCATGCCTGTTTGTTTACCTTTGTTTCCCAAAACAAAGACATTAGTAATGAAACATCATGTGCCACTTCTCCCAGAGACAGCTACAATTATTCAAAGAAGGGAACAAGACAAAAATGAGTCATCGAATTTTATTTTTCAGAATCCTATTCGGAAAAATCTCCCTTAATGACTAATGTCATATTCTAGAAGTGATAGGCCAGATTTGGAGTGTAAGGAGATTTAAACTGGATGTTAGGGAAGGAACAATCCTGAAGTATGGGTTAGTCCAGGGAAAATTAGATCCTGTGAATAGTAGTTAAGTAGGCACCTTCCAGAAGGAGAGGTAAGAATATGGGTTAGAAGTAGTATATTTAGAAATCAGATTGAATCTAAGAAGAAAACGAAGAGAAGATGAAGGTATTAATGTTAATTATCATAGAGACTGAGACTCAGCCCTTGTGGTCAGATAGTTTAGGAAATAAATCATAAAGACTGAGAAAAACATAAAGGGACAAGACAGGGCCAATTCTGAGGGAGTATTTATAACTGCTAAGAAATGAAGTGCTGTCTTTTGATTTCAGTGTGTTTTTCTTGCTTTCTATATTACTTTGCAAACATCAGCAAATTCACTGAACTGTCTGTGGGCAGAAACCCTGTATATACAGTGGTTAGTTGAAGCAGAAATCATGTCTAAATATAGTATAAATGGGTTTTGCAGATTTCTAATATCATTTATCAATATATTTTGTTAAATTAATAAGACAGTCTTGCAAACTCTATCTCCCACTTAGAGAAGAGTCTCTGTTTTGGTAGGATTTGTAAGTAGTAATTACATGCTGGCTTCTAATCAAGATAAGTTTGCTTTGGTTGTGGCTTAAACAAACAGGTAAGCTCTGTACTGATAATGACCCTTGGATTTCAAACATGTAAATTTAGCTCAAAGTAGCTCTTATGAAAAAGTCATTTCTGAAAACTCTAAAATCACTGGCATTAGGAATAGCTAGTGTCAAGATCTAAATAATGCCCTTAGATCAGTTTCTCTTTTCTTTGTCTCCCTTGACCTAGGTTAAGTTCATTTTTCAATTTGCATCTCTCCAAAGTAACCTCTAGTGACTGCCAACCGTGTCCTCTCAGTGTAATAATTTCAGTAGAAACACAGTTGACTACAAGTTTAAAATATTTGGGACCGCCGTGGTTGAGCCCAGTCAACCTATCTGCTCATCTGTGAGCCGTTGCCACATCCACACCAAAGAGTGTGTGGAATCATGTGTCTGTCACCCGTGGTCAGGGTAGGACAGGCTACCATGACCTCCATCCCACTGAGTTCACATGAAACAGCCAGGTTCAATACCAAAAGGACAAAGGCTGTGATCAGAAGAACTTTGGAAAAACATACAGAGCACAGAGAAACCAAAGTGATCACCATCCGACCTGTCCTCTACATCTGAATCTTTACCCATGACTTTTTAAATAGCAATTTAAATATCCTCAGTGTCCCAACTCAAGCATAAGTTCATGGTAATTCCAATCCACATCTATCAGAGTAATATTTAGAAATCACCTGATAGACACCTGATAGATTCTTTCTGATAGAAAGAATCCAGCAAATTTAATACAATGAAATATGTAATAAAATACAAGATAGAGGAGACCAAGCATTTAACTGTGATGAAAGTGTTTACTAACTTCCAGTGAAGTTTGGCCTAATTAGATGGAAATCGCAGTTAGCTGGTACATGGTGTTCATGCATAAGAAACAGGAACAATGAATGTTTGATCCGAGGACTGATAATCTTGGCTGAGTTCTTCTTGTAGACACGTAAGTCTTCAAAGGAGGAAACCTTTTGCCTAAATATTTTTGTATGTAATTAGCTCCTTTACGATCAGCTTTGAAGATTTTTTTTTTAAATTTCACCTAGTCCTACATAAACAGTGATGTGTTTCAATATGCTTAAATGTCTTTTAAATAATTGTCCATTAAAATTCTGCTTTCAGCACAATAACAAGTGAGCAGGGCTAAAGAGACATACTGATATCTGTTTAATTGACAAATTTTACTGCTATCTGTTATCCTGCTGTGGATTTTGTTGGTAGTTTATCACAGGGCAATTAAAGATATTGGTCCTTAGACACATAGCTAGATTGTTTATTTTAAGTCATTCTGTTAATTAGAAATTACTACATTAACATAAATAACTCTTTGTAATTATCCTACTCATCCAAACACTAACCTCCGATTATCATCTCCCAGAAACTTACCCCTGAATATCTTTGGACCCAAAGCCTACATAATACTTCTATATAATGTAACAAACAGCAGCTATATTACTCTCATTAATAAAAAAAAAAAATGTTTACTTACAAGCAATGGTGAATCACATGTATAAAATCTA